TGCACAGGGGTGGGAGGCGTCTCACCGGCACCTGCACCTGATGAACAGGAGCCAGCGCGGATAAACAAGCGTGCAGGAGAGAAAAACAAGGCTGCAGGATTAGGGGATCAACAAAACCTGAGACGGGGCAGGTGAATTGAGCTCCTCCACTGGCTAATCCTGCTCCCCAGCCTCCCCTCCCAGGGCGTCGAGGGCACGCTTGGAACGGGGAACGAGCGCCGAGAAGCTGGGGCAGGACTGGAGGAGCTGCAGGCCACCTTTGGGTGGCAAAAGCCTCCAACGCTGCTCTCCTTCAGAGGTTTGCTCGGAACCAAACGGCTGGGTGAGCACCAGAGGGACGTGGCGAAAACACATCCAGCAACCCTAACCCTAACCCTAACCCTGACCCTAACCCTAACCCTAACCCTGACCCTAACCCTGACCCTGAGGTCCGTGCAGACCTCTGATCGGAGCGGCGTGTTTGGAGGGGTTGTTGATTTACTTAAGAGAGGAAAAGTTAAGAAAACCCAGGCTGAAAGGAGATCTCCTGGAAGAGCCATGGCTCCCCGCAGAACAGAAGGCGCCCGGCTCACCGTTGTTCCTCCCCTCCGCACGCCCGGCTGCTCCTCGTACCTCCAGTAACCGCACACACGCGGCCCCGTTACACAACCAGGGCTTGCACAATCCTCGCGGGCGCTCCACCAGCTTCCTCCTCCGAAGCTTGGAGCTCGCTCAAACGTTTCCCAAAAAGTCACCCAGCGCCACCAGGACAGACCCCCCAACCCCCTTGAGCTGCCCACCAGCCCCTCAGAGAGATTTTCCAGGGAGGAAAACCAAGCCCCATCCTCCCCATCCCCTGGTCTGGATGGAAAAAGGGAAATTAATGAGTAATCCTCCTGAATTCCTTGCAAAGGAACAACTCTGGGCACACTTTGATAACCTGCCCCCAGGGACCGAACTCGGCTGCCCTTTGGACCCGGTGGCCTCGGAGAAGCCACCAGAGCCGCGGACACTCCCTGCCTCTTCGAGGGCTCCGAGCACCGGGCAGCACACAGCTGACCCCAACATTTATTTGGGCGAGGAATTAGGAGCAGCCTGCCGTTATTTGCTCCGTTCTGGGGAATTTCAGACCCCGCAGAAACCAACCCAGGCAGGCGCACGGGCAACAGCACAAAGTTCAGTGCCACCAGGGGTAACTGCCAGCTCGTCCCCACACCCCCACCGGCACCCAGGGGTGCCCCCCCAGCCTGTGGGGTGAGACCAAACTCGTTACCTCGCTCCCACAGCTCCATGAGCAGGCGCTGAGGGTGCCCAGGAGCCCCAGCACGGAGGGCAAGCGGCACCAAGCGCCTCCCTGCAGAGCAGGAATGGGGGGACTGGGGGTCCCGGCGAGCACCCCCCGCAGCTGCTTGGGGTGTGAGGGGGGGAGAAAGCAAAGCAAAAGCTGCAGAAAGCACTCACTTGCTCAACCCCACACAGGCACCACCCCGCAGATTGAACGGGAGGCGGCTCAAAGTGATGACAGGGCAGGAGATTTCCCTCCGAGGTCCGCGGGGAGAGGCTGCACGAGGAGATTTACGAGCTCTGTAAGGGTGAAGCCAGCTGGGTGGCGGCAGCTCCTCCCTCCTGCCCACCCCGTTCCCTCTCCAAGGCTTTTTTTTTTTTTTTTCCCCACCTTTTTACACCCTAGGAGCCACCTCCACGTGCTGCAGGGACCCAGCACGGCCCCAAAACGAGGCACCGGGAGCTGTGCGCACCCCAGAAACACCCCATAAAATACGAGCCCGAAGGAAAACCGAGCGCTGGGGCAGCACGGGGTGCTCCGGGGGGGGCAGCTCCCCAATTTCATTACCTGCAGCAGGGTAATTTACTGAGATTAGGCAGAAACCCTAAATGGCACCTTTCTCCTCCCAATCGTTACCTATCATTATCTATCAACCCATTATCCATTGTTATCAGCCCCCCTGCTCCCAGGGCAAGGTCAGGGAGGAGCCCCCGGGGGGCTTCCAGGGCACAGCAGCCTCTCGGAGGGGGGAACCCAGCAGTGGGGGAGCCCCAAACCCCAGGAGACCCCCCAATAACAGGGCTCAGCCTGCCCCAGGCAGCCCAGTAATGGGGTCCCATCACCTCAGGCACCCCAAATAGAAGGACTGTGCTCACCCCAAGCCCCCCAGTAACCCCGCTCACCCCAATACCGGGGTCTTACCCCAATACCGGGGTCTTCCTCACCCCAAGCCCCCCAGTAATGGGGCCCTGCTCACCCCAAGCCCCCCAGTAATGGGATCTGACCCCAATACCGGGGTCTTCCTCGCCCCAAGCCCCCCAGTACCGGGGTCCTGCTCACCCCCAGCCCCCCATTAATAGGATTGTGCTCCCCGCAGCCCCCCAATCCCAGACCCCCCCACCCAGTGGGCCCCCCCCCACCCCAATCCCCCAATAACGCCCCCCCAATTACCCCAGCCCCCCAATAACCCCCTAACAGCACCCCCACACCCCAGCCCCCATTACAGGGCCCTGCCCCCCCCATCCCCACCCCCCTCACCCCCAACCCCCCAAATAACCCCCCCAGCACCCCAAAACCCCCCCAAAACGGGGTCCTCTCGCCCCAAACCCCCCAGCAACGAGCCCCCCACACCCCAAACCCCCCAGCAGAGGAGCCACGACCCCCCCTTACCCTATAACCCCCCCCTTTACCCCATAACCCCCCCCTCACCCCATAGCCCCCCCCCAGCCCCCCTCCCCCCTCACCTGCTCTCCCCGCTCTGGCCCCTCCCGGCCCGGCCCCGCCGCCGCGCGCAGCCCGGCCCGCACCACCGCGACTCCGCAGCGGGGGGAGCCCCGCCCCGCCCCCGCCGCGCAGCCAATGGGATGCGCCGGAGGGGGCGGCCCCGCGGGAGTTTGGCTCCCCCCGTCCTGCCCGAGGTGGTACGGCCCCGGCGCGCCAAATGGGGGGGGGCGTTAAAGGGGCAGCGACGGGGGAATGGATATAGGGACATGGGTATAGGGACACGGGTATAGGGACACGGGTATAGGGACATGGACGGACAGACGGACACGGGTACATGGACAGACGGACAGGGGTATGGGGACAGGTATAGGAATGGCAGATATACCCTGCCTGCCGCCATATATATACAGCATCAGGTATGGGGGGACAGATATAGGGGTATATGGACTGATGGATATAGGAACGTGGACAGACGGACAGGGTTGTGGACGGACAGACGGATATAGGTACATGGGGATAAAGACAGACAGAGGTACGGGGACAGACAGACAGGTATGGTAGGTATACCGTGCCTGCCACCCTATATATAGCATGGGTATGGGGGGACAGACAGACGGATATAGGGACGTGGATGGACAGATGGACACATGGACAGATGGACGGACAGACATATAGGTACGCGGATGGATGGACATAGGTACGGGACGGACAGACAGACAGAGGTACATGGATGGACATAGGTACATGGACGGACAGATGGATATAGGTACATGGACGGACATATAGGTACATGGACATAAAGAGATGTAGGTACATGGACGGACAGACACACGGACAGACATGGGTATATGGACATAAAGACAGAGAGGTGCGTAGACAGACGGACAGACAGATGTAGGTACGTGGACAGACAGACAGGTACCCGACATAGAGGTGTAGGTGTATGGACATACGGACAGCCAAAGGTACACGGACAGATAGAAGCATATGGACAGACAGACAGACAGACAGGGGTACACGGCCATAAGGCCAGCTACAGGTGCGTGGGCACGGTACAGGCGTGCACAGACAGACAGACGGACACAGACAGACTCAGCGCCCTGCTTTGGGCACAAGGCACGCTCTTTGGGCATTTCGGCAGGGCTCCCAGGCAAAGCTCGCCTGGCCGCCACCCGAATCGCTCAAGAGGCTCCAAAAACGTCTCTTTTTGGGGGAAATTTCACAACCTGCAGAGGGCCACGGCTCTCTTTTGGGGTTTTTCCCCACGCCGGGACCGCAAACCCCACAGGAACACTTCGGTGACGGGCTGGGCTCGGGGGGTGAGCCACCACGACAGGGCTGCAGGAGAGGTGTGGGGCATCCAGGGGGGATTTTGTGCCATTGGGGCCACGGTCCCGCTGCTATCACCTATGGCCGAGATCAGAGCCGATGACGCCCACGGAGAGGGCGCAAAGTCCATGAGGGTGAACCAGGGGCACCGAGGAGAGGCAGCGAGCTGCGGAGATCCAGGTCCCCAGGCATGGCCCCGCAGTGACAGAGGGGTCGGGGACACCCTGCGGGGCAGGGGGGTGAGCAGGGGAGCGGGTATCCCAGACCCCAAAGCCGCCCTCCTTCCACCACGGCGGGGTGGAAGAGCAGCAGGAAGGAGCTGGGCTCTGCCAGAACACCCATCCCGCTGCTCCAGGCGCAGGGCGAGCACCCTGCCAGCTCCCGGTGCTCGTCCCCACGCTCCTGTCACCCCCTGGGGACAGAGGGGTGACCGAGGGGCTTTCTGGGGTCACGTTTCACCCCGCTTCCAGGTGCGGAAGCGACCCTGAGCTTTGACAGAGCACCGGTTGTACTGGGAACGCAGCAGGACACGGAGTAACAAACCTTCGGAGACAGCATGTTCCCGGGGGCAGCCATCCCGCGCTGCCCTGCAGTTTTATTGATTTTTAAGAAAAAAGAAAAGCTGAGAGGAAACGAGGAACTTCAGTTCTCTGCCTCCCCTCCAAGGAAGGGACCTGGAACTGCAACTTGAGCATCAGTGACCCCATCTGAGAGCTCCAACCCCAAGCAGCTGATGGTTGCCTCCCTCTCCTCAATCCCATTCCTCCTTTCAGCCACATTTGCCCGCGTCCCACCCTGTCCCACCCCTCCCTGCCAGCCCTTTTAAGGGGTTTTGAGCCAAATCCCAGCCCTGGATTCCTCCTGGAAGGAGCTCTGCTGCCCCGGCCCCACCCTGCAGTCCCTGGGGGCTGAGCCCACCCCAGGAGAGCTCTCCCCACTTGAAAGCAAACCAGGAGACGCAGCGGTTTGTTTCCAGTTGTATTTCAAGCTTTCGGTTTGAGGGTACACGACACTGGAAGTCCTCCTCACCCTCCTGGGTTCTCTGCACGTTTCTGGAAACAAGAGTGGGAAAACATCACGGTTCGGGGGAAGGCTCTGACGAGGGAGGGCACCAAGGCACTAATCGAGGGGAACATCAGGGCTTCAATCACGTCTAGCAGCTCCTTCCTGGTATTAAAGTTCCTTTTTGAAGTTTCCCTGTTAAGTTTCAGGCGAGCTCCTCGTCCTGTCGTTGCTCCACGTTAAACAACGCCATTGCTGCCAGCAGCTCGGGAGGAACAGGACCACGAAACCAAACCCACCTGAGATCCCAGGGAGGGGGGAAACAACCAGGATGGAGCCAGCCACCAACTCCAGCCCCCACAGGCTGCTTCCGAGGGCTGCACCCCCCAGAAAGCCCCTCTCTCTCTCCAGCCTCCACCTCTGCAAGCAGCTTCAGACGAGCACAGAGCTGAGCTCTGAGCCCTCGGCTTTCGCTGCAGTCTGCCCCCAAAGCAAGCCCCTGCGAGGCCACGCGTCACCGTGGCAGCTGTGCAGCAACACGGGGCCTCCTCAGGCACCCAAAAAGGGGAAAGGGGAGAAAGGAAAAGGCACGTGGGTGCTTTGGGGCACGCAGCCATCCGTGCTGCCTCCTACCTGCGGGCTGGGATAGCACGGAGGAGCCCTGAGGAGGCAGGGCAGGCACGGCGAGGCCATTCCCCAGAGCAGCAAAGGCACCTGGAGCTTCACGCAGCACTTCTTGTTGTTATTTTCTCTGAGAATAAACCTCTAAGCAGCTGATCAATACAGCAGCTGAGATCCTGCCCGTTTCACAGACAGAAAGAGGAGATTCCTCCCGGGCACAGCACGGTGGGAAACAAAGCCCAGCAAGTCCCACCAACCCCAGCCCTCCGCCACCAGCACCGCACAGCGCCCTGCTCTCCATCCCTTGCTGGAAACTCCTCTCCCACACATCTTCCCACCCCCTCTGAAGGAAACAGAGAGGTTGTGTTAGTGCTGGTGGGCCACACACCTCCAGCTGAGCCATGTGAGCACCCCAGTGGAACGGCATCGTTCCAGTTCACTCTTCTAACCCTCTCTCAAGGTCCCTCCCAGCTCCTTGGCTTCATGCTCGCTGCACAAACGGCCAAAATCCCCCCCTGAGGACACTTACACTATTTTTCACGTGTCTGAGCTGCCTTGTTGAGGAGTTTAGGGGGGTTTAGGGGGGCAGAAAATACTAAAAAAGTATCAAAATTCCAAAGGAAACAATTAAATAACCCATTCAGCAACAGTGGCCAGCTGCCACACGAGCACCATACACAGTCCTCCCGTGCCAGAGGAGCCCCGCTGCCCTCGGGAGGATCAGTACACCTGGATCCTGGAAAATTCAGCTGGAACGAGTGGGGCTGCTGGATGTCCCGGGGCTTGCTGAACCCCAGCCAGGGGCTCCGGGCCCACGGGTGCCTGTAGTCCTGGTGGGCACACATGTTGTGGGATGGAGAACTTGCCCGGCTGGCAGAACTGTCCCGGCGAGGCCCCGGCGTGGGTTTGGGGGTAAAAGTCCCCAAAGGCACTTCTGGCTTGGGAGGGGGAGGAAGGGAGGCCGTGTCCTGCTGCAGAGCTGTGCTGAGCCCCCGCGTGTCCCCCCGCGGGGCCGTGTCCTGGCGTGCAGCTGTGCTGGAAGCCCGGGCTCTGAGCAGCGGGGTGCTGCGGGGGGAAAGTGGGAAGAGCTGGAGGCGAGGAGCTGCAGGAGCTTTGCGTGGGGTACGAGCCTGGCGGAGGGGTGATCCTAGGCAGGAAGGAAAAGGGAAGGTTATTCCAGAACTGGCGCTGCCTTGCTGCTGCTGGAAGTGCCCCAGGGGCAGGTTTCCTCCTGACCAACACTCACAGAAGTTGCTGCAATCCATCAGAGAAACGCTGTCTCTTACAACAGGAGGAATCCCTGTTACAAGCATTGTTTGGGTAAAAACAGGGATATTGGTCACCCGGGCCAGATGTGCCCACTCCCAACCCACAGAACAAGCGGGGTTTAGCCCTAAATCTCTTCCCAAAGGGCACATGCCAGCCACGCTGCAGGGTTTGGCTTTACGAGGCCTCCCAATTTCCACGCACACCCCCCTGCCTCCCATCTAAGCCATTCAGCAGCAGCCACAGCTGCCCAGCATCATCTATCGAGACCCATAAAGGCCTTTGGTGGAAGCAGGAGCAAGGGTAGAGAGCGAAAGGGAAGGAGGAGAGCTACAGATGAGATGAATCCTTCAGAAGCGAGGTCTAGAAGCAGCCTCTGCCAGCAGAAGGCATGACTCACCCTGCATCAAGCAGGATCTGCCTGGGAGCCAAAGCCTCGGGGCCTCCAGGAGCGCTGCCCGGCCCACGCACGAGCTCAGCAGGGCATCGAGGCAGCGCTCACACGGCTGTGACCACCAGATCCCAGTAAAAAAAAAGGGGCTGGCTCACACTGGGGGCTGGGAGCTTGGGTTTGTTCCCCCCACAGCTCCATTTGTGGAGGCAAGCACGATGCAGGAAGCAGAGCCTCCTAGAAACAGCTTCTGCCTGCTGGCAACTCGGTGCCTGCAGCTTCCTGGAGCTTGAAAACCCGCTCAGAGCTCGCACTCGGGAATAAGGGATCAAAGCAAGAAGAATGAAGGCCCAGAAGCAAGCAGCAGACTTGCACCTAAGCCGCAGAGAGATGCAAATTGAGCTGCAGAAATGGAAACATCCTCGAAACGCCTTCCCACACCCTGCTCGACAGTCAAATGTCTCTGTAAACACCTCTGAGCCCGCACCGCCCGCTGATGGCAGCTCACCTAAGGAGGGCAGGTTTAGGTGCGGAGCCCAGACTGAGCACAAGTTACCAGCAGCAGCACTGGAGTGGTGCAGACATGGGCTCTGCTGCAGCGAGAGCGACCCTCCTCGCAGGGGCAGCGCTGACAGGAGGAGGCAAAACGCTCCTGGGTTTGCCTGGGCTCCCCTGTGAGCACTCGGGCTCAGTCCGATTGCCCCACAGGATCTGGGTGCGTGTTCCTGCCGGGGAGGTTCTGTTTTATGGCTTCCCCTCAGGTGAGGGTAGGTGCAAACACTTCAGGATGCTTTAGAATGAGCCTATGGCTTCAAGAGAACGTGGAATTTAACTCCTCGTAGAGAAACAGCCTTCCTCAGCCAAACTCAGGTGGCATCTTAGAGATGGGAAAAAATTTAACCGGATTTCTGAGCTTTAGAAAATACCAGTGACTTTTCAGGGATTGTGATAGACACAAAATTAAAATAACCCCCGAATGTCAGCTCAAGTGCCAAGGTTTCTTTTCAGTAGAGCCACCTCGCTTAATGCCGAACACAAGCACAGCAAGGTGGCACCTCCAGTTCCCAACCATAGCTTTGGACGTGACCAACTTCACAGCTCTGCCGGCAGGCGGGGCAAAGACAAATAAAGATCACACCCCGGGGCACGACACGGCCAGGAACAAATGGCAGGAGCCCTGATGTCAGGGCAGAGCTGCACGACTCTGCTCTCATGCTGCTGTTACCTCTGCGTGCGTCGATACAAACACAAACCTTTTAGGGGTGGCTCAGTGCCACCTCACGCCCCAAAATTTCTCTACCTGGCAAGAAATCCTCACGGGAGCTCCCGCACTTACTTGACGCTCTCGGAGGCTCTCCTCTCCGCCGAGGCCCCCTGGGATGTATCTCAGCCCTGGCACTCTCTTCAGCAGGGTGAAGGGGAACAGCCGATCCAGCTTAGAGCTCACCGACTCGGGAATATCCAGGCAGAAGCAGTAGCCGAGCCCATCTGAAGCCAGCAACACGTCAAGGAGGCCCTCAGACAAAACATCCTCGTTTCTGACACAGCCACGCACCATCCCCCTCCGGCTCCAAACCCATTTTCCCTGGAGAACTCTCCCAGTTCTACCCAGTGCCATCCCCACAGCCCGCTGCCCTCCTCAGCTCCGGGATCTCTGCACGCCCTGAAGCCACGAAGTGGAAGCAGAGGGCGAGAGACCAACGCAGAGCTGGGTGTGCTGCGGGCAAGTAGAGCTGGTGAGAATTCGGTGCAGAAAAGAGCCAAGGAAATGCCCTAAAGCTGCAGCACGCTCACAAACAGCGACCCCACGCTGTGCTTCAGGGCTGGGCCCTGGAAGGATACAGGCCTCCCCAACCAGAAGCCCGCAGATAGTTACCGAGGAGGGAGGAGCGGGGGATAAACCACGCCACGCAGAGCAGAAACCACGGCACCAGCACCACCGGGACCCTCACCCCGAGGAACAGAGCCCTCCTCATCCGCGAGCGTGTGGTCGACACCCCCAACATGGCAAACGCCACCGGCATGAACCCCCTGGGGTCCTCCACCTCCACCACCCTCGAGACGACAGCCGCAAGCAGGAGGTACAGGAGGGCGGAGAGGACGGCGAACAGGACGGTGAGGAAGCAGTGCTTGGCAGTGCCCACGTTCTTCTCAAAGCTGCCTGCAAAGTACCAGACGAGAACAGCGCCGCAGCTCAGGGATATCAGGTCGTCGTAGCTGAAGATGTAGGTGAGCAGCCTGTGGACTGAGCACAGCAGCACGTCACAGCGGCAGGGACCGCGAGGGGTTTGTTTTAGCCACCAGAAGGGGGATTTGTTTTAAATAGATCTGGTTAGCTGGAGCAGGGTGAGATTGAGCCGGCAGAAAGTATTGCTTTTTGTTCTACCCTGCTGCAAAAGGGGAGCTTGGGGTGTTTAAAACCAGGCGTAAATAATGAAACACTGCTAGAAAGAGAGCTGTCGTGGGCACTGCACTGATGGACTGACTCCGGGTGCTTCCTGGGGTGGTGACTGGAAAAAAGTCAACGGTTTCTATTGTAAATTTCGGTCTCATTAAAAGAGAAGGAAGGAGACGTGGAACCAGTAAGGTTGGAAAGGAGCTCCAAGATCTGGTCCAACCACCAGACGCCCATCCAACCCTGTCCCCAAGCACCCCGTCCAACCTTCCCCTGAACACCCCCAGGGACGGTGACTCCCCCACCTCCCCGGGCAACCCGTCCCAGTGCCTGACTGCCCTTTCTGAGCAGAAACGCCTCATTTCCAACATAAAAACGACCGCCCAGTAACTACACCTGCCCTGCTAATCAGCTACCACAACAAATAAAGAACCAAACCGCCTCAGGCCGGCTGCTCTCAGCAGCCCTGGGGGCTCCCAGCCCCAGCCCCGTGTGCACCTCAGGGCCCCCCCCGCAGCCCCGCAGCCCCGCAGCCCCGCTCCCCGCCGCTGCCGGGGCAGGAGGCGGCCCCGCACGTTCCCCCTCACCTTCCCCCGCCCTCAGGGGGGTCTCGGGGGTGCCGCCGGTGCCGCCCCCGCCCCGCAGCAGCGCGGGCCCGGAGGCGCCGAGGCTCAGCAGCAGGGTGAGGGCGCTGCCGGCCGCTGGGCACCGCCGCCCCGCCGCCATCTTGTCGCGCGCCGCCCCGCTTCCGGCCGCCGCCGGAAGGCCTGCGCCGTTACCATGGCAACGCCAGGCGCGGCGGGCCCTCCGTTGCCATGGCGACGGGCCTCGCTTTTCCCTTTTTTTATTTTTTAATCCCTCTTTTATTATTATTTTTTTTAATTTTTAATCCCCTTTCCATTTCCTTTTTTTTTAAGTTTTAATCCCCTGTGTCTTTTCTTTTTAACTTTTAATCCCCATTCTCTCTTTTTTTTTAAATTTTAATTCCTTCTCTATTTTTTTTAAACTTTTAATTCTCCTCCTCCTTTTCTATTTTTGTTTAATGTTAATAACCTCGTTTCCCTTTTCCTTTTTTTCCCCCTTTCCTTTCTTTTTCCTTTTTTATTTCCCTTTCCTTCTTTCCCTTTCCTTTTTTCATTTTTTTCCCTTTCCTTTTTTCCTTTTTTTCCCCTTTCCTTTCCTTTCCTTTCCTTTCCTTTCCTTTCCTTTCCTTTCCTTTCCTTTCCTTTCCTTTCCCTTCTTTATTTTTTCCCCTTCCGTGACGGACACACCGCTGCCTGAGGGAAACAACAGAGGAAGGGGCCAGGGAAGGTCCTGTGTGAGAAGGATGAGGCAGGAAAAAAGTGAGAAAAAGAGAGAGGCTTTGCTCTGAGAGTGGTGGGAGCTGAGCGGGGACACGCCTCATCCAGCTCCCAGTGCTCCCACCTTGCCCTAAACAACCGAGTGCCACAAACGCTCCCTGCTGCCAGCTCCCTCTCAGCCAATGGGGATGAGCAGGGGGCCAAGGTCTGAAATCTGAAATCTTTTCCCCACCCCAGGTTCAATATTTTTGTTTGGGAGCAAAGGGAGAGCACAGCACATGAGCTTTCCCTCTGAGTCTGCTGTAAGCATTCAGGAGTCCCAGATCTATCAGCAGGCAAAAAATACGTGAGCTCAGCTCTTAGTCTCAATGCCATTTTCTATTTCTATGGACACCTCCATCTCTTAGGAGCACAAAGGTCCTGAGAGGCTACACAGAGCAAATACCATCTCCCCCACCCTGCCCCTGGAGCGTTGTTTGGGACCTGCCCTAATCCCTCAGCACACTTCAAAGGGAGCCTTCATCAAAAGGTCCCAGCTTGTCACAGGCCCAGGAAGGCCGGTGGTGCTGGACAAGGCACCGAGGCTGGAGGAGACTGATGAAGTTTTTCAAGGAGAAACCTGAAAGACAGGCAGAGACCTTGACCCTTTTGAGATTTATCCTCCAAGTCGCTGCTTGTTTTGCAGAAACCCATCTTAGGCCATGGGCCTCCCTGCTGCTGTGCCCCGGGGGAAAGAAACAACCCGGCTTGTTTGCAGATCTGCTCAACCCATTCAGCTGGAACCAGAGAATGCTCTTCAATCCCGCTAAAATAGAAAAAAAAAGGTAAAAGCTCACAGTGCTGTTCCCCCAGCTGCCCTGTAAATGCTGGTGCGGGTACAGCCACTGGACACAAAGCACAGAGCTGTGTCTCACGGCAACTTTTTGGACAAACTCCTATGCAGGCGGCTGCTCTCACACAGCGAGGGTGAATGCTCCTGATCCAGCTGCACTTGTGCAGCAACACCTCCTGCTCCACACCCCCTGCGCCTTGCCAGCCCGCGACCCCTTGTCTCAGAAACTCGCTTTCTGAGCCAATATTTGTCTTTTTTTATATATTTTTATTAATATCTGTGCTCTGACAACGCAGCTTCCCTTCTGATGGTGCCACCAGACCCCCCCGCAGACCCTTCCCAGCCATTCCAACCCCAGCACCCTGCGAGCTGCCTCCCTTTACCTCCCCTACTTTACCTATAGGTTCCTCCAACCCCCCCCAAGCCCCCCCAACCCCCCCCTCCCCCCTACCCCCATCATCCCCCTACCCCCCCCCCATGCACTTGGTACGCTCCCCTCCCTCCTCTCCTCCCCCCCCCCCCCCTTCGGGTGGGAGTGGCCGCGCGCTGCCATTGGCTGCCGGGCCCCGCAGTCCGCGCGAGCTGCGGGGGCCTCAGTGCGCGCGCGGCCGGCGCGGCGCTCGGTCACTGCCCCCCCCCCTCCTCCCGCTGCCGCCGCCGCCGCCGCCATGGCCTCGGGTGGGTGCCGCGGGGCAAGCGCGGGGGGGGCGGGGCCTGAGCCTCCCGGGAGGGAGGGGGGAGAAAAAGAGGAGGAGGAGGTGGGGGGGGAGGGAGAGGGAGCCGCGGGGTGAGGGAGGGGGTGGGGGGGGAGGGGGGGATGCGGGAGGGGCCACGCCCCCCTGATGGCGCCCGCTGGCCACGCCCCCTTTGTGGAGCCACGCCCACCCGTGGAGGCCACGCCCCCTTCATGGGGCGGGGTCTATGGGGACACGCCCCTTTTTCTCATAGGGCGGAGCATGGAGTGGCCACGCCCCCTTTCCCCAATGGAGGCGGGGCTCTGCGAGGCCACGCCCCCTTTCTGCCAGGGGCGGGGGAGTGAGGGGTGGGTGGCTTCCAGCCCCCCTCAGAACCTGCCCCCCCCCCAAATTTTGACACCCCCCCCCCCCCCAATTACCGTGTTTTAATTGGGATGTGGCTCCAGGGCTGTGTGAGGAGGGGCTCTGCTGTGCCCCTCCCTCCTTCCCAGCACCTTTCTCTCTGAACTTTGGCTGCTTTCAGGGAAGATGCCCCCAGATCCGTCATTTTCCAGCAAAAAATGCGGTTTGCAGAGCTACTGTGAGGTTCCTGAGCCCACCAGAATGAACCCCTCAGGAGGCCGGGGAGCACTCTGAGAAAGGCTGCTTGGCACGCACAAAAATGCATAAATAGAGGAAATTCCTCCACTTCTATGTATTCATATTTTACGGGCTCCTTATCTGGTGGCTTTCAGTCTCCTTCCAAAACGCTGTGTTTTGGCACAAGTTGGTGAGGGAGAAGCTGCGGGGATGAACTGCACTGCTGTAGTTCGGAGGAAGTTACGTCCTTCCTCAGGAATTCTTCCTGAGATGACCCCTCGTGTTCTTTGCTTTAATTAGCACCATTAATGGCGGATCAATTTTATACGATTTGGTGTGTGCTTTGGTTGCAGAATGGTTATAGCTGTTTGTGTATGGCTTGTGGCATTCATCCTGAACTCGAATACACCCTCAGCTTCAGGTTTTTAGGCAATTCCAGGTGTAGTGGTTAGGGAAAGAGAGAGGGGAAAGACTAAAACCAGGAGTTCTTGGTATCCGTTCTTAGACTGTGGTACCCCAATGTTTGTACCGCTTCTTGGGGTGATTCAGAAGGACCAGGAGCATCCCGAGGCTGTTTCCAGACTGACAGTACTGGCAGAGAGAACCCGGTGCTGGGTTTTGACCAGACGATGGAAACTTCAAGCGTAAAGGTCAGGATTTGAGGCACCTGCACAGAGCAGTGAGTCCAGCAGAGGCCGTGTGGCTGGGAGGCCGTGGCCATGAAGTGCTGGAGCCCGCTCTGGAGATCTGCACCCGAAGGGCCTGAAGGTGGTGGAGCAAAGCGTGTGGGTGCTACGGCCCCACTCCTGGCACGTGTGGCCAGCTGGGGAGACAGGCTGTAGGGCTTGGTGCTTCCCTTGGTGCTGAGACAGCTCTTAGTACTCAGAAATTTGAATTTTTACAGAAGCCAGGGAATCCGTCTTTCTGCCATTAACAAGACAAAATGTGGTAAGCTAAATCAATAAAGACAAAGCAGCATATTTAGGAACTGAGTTCCAGCTTAGGTACTAGTTTGTGTGTTTGTTTTTGTGACATTGATAGCTTTTACAGGTTAGACTGCCATACTTCAAATCAATTTCAGTGATTTTTCTTTTTTCTTACTTGAAATTGTATTCTGAAATCCATATTCTTCCAGTGTGTTTGTCTTTCAAGAATCCATTTCCATGATATCTGATGTTTAGATTAATTGGCAATAACCTCTGTAATACCTGTCTGGACAAGCTGTATGTAAATGAATTAATTCTTGCGTGGTTGGGGCTATCAGCAAGGGAAATGTCATCTCCAGATTCTGTCTCTGTGCTAGGCAGAGCTTTTGTAGGGTGCCTTCAATGGGGTGGGCCTGGCCTACTTAGCTTTGCTTGATTAATTAAGCAGCTGCATTCTGAGCCTTGCTGATGGGACTGTATTCAGTAGCCATTAGAGGGGGTTGTGCAGTCCTGAATCTGAGGATGCACCACGAAAATGGAATCCAGATGCTTCACAGAGAGAAGTTCAAAGCATTTGTACCCCCCCACGCTGTGCTCCCCTTCTCCCCATCAGGATTTCTCATCTGCTGGCCAGAAGCAGCTCTCAGATTCTGCTGGGAAAGTACCTGCGTTGTCTAGTGTCTACACCTTCCTTCCTCTCCCCCAAATTCTTCCTTTTATATTAAGTAGAGGAATAAAGTATTAATTGGAAGTTCTCAACATGTCTCTACTTCTTCTTCTAGATTCGGGAAGTTACAGTCAGTCCGGGGGCCAGCAGAGGTATGGTATTTTTGTTTGTTTCTTTCTCTTGGCAATTAAATGTGCAAAATAAAGGCAATTTAGGATTCCCAGCAAGGCATTTGAATCTTGGAGTGTGATATGGTGTTGATAACATTTTTGACAGGAACAGTTGTAGAAAGCTTGTAGCCTTGGGCCTTTATTAAGAATCCTTATAAAACAGAGAAAAGTTGATGTTCCTGAAGGGAAGAAAACAAGGAGGGTTGAAATGGAAGGCTATCTTTTAATAAGAAGAACTTTTGAAATGTCATGGATATAGAGAAATATTTTCATACGTCTGCCTTAAGCTGCTCACTGAGGTATTAGTCAAAGTTTATACAAGCATAAAGGTGATGGCCACATTAATATTTGACTTGCCCAGTAGAGGGACTTTTTTTATATAAAAAACAAAACAAAAACAAACAAACAAACTTTGAAAACTGTTCATAATAGTGTAATTTAAAAGCCATTTAAAAATAACTGTAAGATTTTTGGGGTGAGGTTGTATTTTAATCAGTAAAAGAGAAGTGTTCTTACAGAAGCATGAGATTCATGGATAATACTGACTGTGCTAAGGAAAGTGATCGGGTTCTGTGCATCTGGCAGTATGTGAGTTTGAGCTTATATCTGAGTTTGATGTGAGTTTCAGCACATGATTCTTCTGTAAGTTCATGAAA